TCAGTCGCAGTTTTATTGTCGCGCTCGTCGCCGCCGTGCCTGCTCTGGACTTTTGCCTTTCCTGTTCATGTTTTGGATATTTGGCGTTTGCTGCTTCCGCCGCGGAGGTGGCGATATGGGCACTTGCCGCGCTCGCCTTGATAGCGCTCGCCGCCGTTGATGTTGTCCTTTCCTTCGCGCGTTGTCGGGCGGGCATTGAGTTTCCCCCCTTCTTTGCGTTTGTCGCCCTCTGCTGGGCAGTCTGACATAAGAGGCCATGCTGACCCACATTTCGAACAACCGTTGCTGTGACGTTTGGTTACGTTCTTGCCTCATTGTTTATGTTTCACCGCGTCTGACGTGGTATCCTCGTCAGCGTCGTACGCATTATCTGCCTGGTGCCCGTCGCAATTGCAATGCCAATCGTTGGAGGACCCATCGTTATCACACCGTCCCCGTTATACCACTCGTATCACTCCAGTCAGTTTCATCCCAATAGTCGCCCCAAATCATCGTCCTCGTCGTAGTCTCCATAACATGATGGACCCACGAACCCGGAAAGGGATATAGACATGTGGAGCATGGGCACGTTTTCACGATACCCAACGGGGCAACACCTCACGAAACATCCCACGAGACACCTCACGAAACATCCCACAAGACACCTCACGAAACATTCCGCGAGACACCTCACGAAACATTCCACGAGACACCCCGCGAAACATTCCACGGACACCCCACGAAACATTCCACGACGACAGGCAACCACTCAACCAAGGCGGTGTGGTCGTGCTGGGGAGTGGTCGTGCTGGGGTGTGGTCGTGCTGGGGGTGGTCGTGCTGGGGGTGGTCGTGCTGGGGCGTGGTCGTGCTGGGGGGTGGTCGTGCTGGGGGGTGGTCGTGCTGGGGGTGGTCGTGCTGGGGCGTGGTCGTGCTGGGGCGTGGTCGTGCTGGGGCGTGGTCGTGCTGGGGTGGGGTCGTGCTGGGGTGTGGTCGTGCTGGGGTGTGGTCTGGGGTGTGGTCTTGCTGGGGTAGGGTCGTGCTGGGGTGGTCGTGCTGGGGTGTGGTCGTGCTGTCTGGTCGTGCTGGGGTGTGGTCGTGCTGGGGTGTGGTCGTGCTGGGGTGTGGTCGTGCTGGGTGCTGGGTCGTGCTGGGGTGTGGTCGTGCTGGGGCGTGGTCGTGCTGGGGTGTGGTCGTGCTGGGGTGGGGTCGTGCTGGGGTGTGGTCGTGCTGGGGTGGTCCGCACCCTGTGATTCATCGATCGGGTCGTGCTGGGCTGGTGGGGTGTGATCGTGGTGGGGTGTGGTCGTGTTGGGGTGTGGTCGTGCTGGGGTGTGGTCGTGTTGGGGTGAGGTCGTGCTGGGGTGTGGTCGTGCTGGGGCGTGGTCGTGCTGGGGTGTGGTCGTGCTGGGGTGTGGTCGTGCTGAGGTGTCCCGCACCCTGTGATTTATCGATCGGGATTTCAAAAACAAGCGTCTCGCTCGAGACATCCTCAAAAATAAGTTCGCCGGCCTCCTTCGACCTCGATATCTATCAGGGAATAATTTCGCCGGCCTCCTTCAAATTGGGCACGGGGGACTATGTTTACACACTAAAAGAGAACCCTGGGCCTTTGCCCTTTCCGGGGAAAAATAAAACCCAGACTGATGTCCGCCACGGGTTTGATCTGTTTGTGGCAGCCTGCTGAATAATCCTTTGATTTCCACGCATGCGCTGCAGTCTCCGTCCACTTTCAGTTTGGTGAAATCGTTTTTTTCTCTGGGGCAACTCGCATCGTTGCGCGAGAAGGTGTGAGCAGCCCGCGGCGTTAAGCTCCAGGTCGGCTGTCTCGTTTGCCTCGCCGTAGGCCATTTCGACTGCTACAATAAACTGTGCCAGGTCGCTCTGTCCGAATCTACGTCGAAAACTTGTCGGCGTGCATCGTCGCGTTGTCCTGCTCATGGAAACCTTGCAATTGAGAAATCAATATTGCGATTTTTGGCAGACCCGACGGCTCACCAACCGTTCCTGCAAACATGATGGACCCACGAACCCGGAAAGGGATATAGACATGTGGAGCATGGACACGTTTTCACGACACCCAACTGGGCAACACCTCACGACACATCCCACGAGACACTTCACGAAACATCCCACGAGACACCTCACGAAACATTCCACGAGACACCTCACGAAACATTCCACGAGACACCCCGCGAAACATTCCACGAGACACCCCACGAAACATTCCACGACGACAGGCAACCACTCAACCAAGGCGGTGTGGTCGTGCTGGGGAGTGGTCGTGCTGGGGTGTGGTCGTGCTGGGGGGTGGTCGTGCTGGGGGGTGGTCGTGCTGGGGGGGTGGTCGTGCGGGGGGTCGTGCTGGGGCGTGGTCGTGTGTGGTCGTGCTGTGGTGAGTCGTGCGTGCTGGGGTGGTCGTGCTGGGGTGGTGGTCGTGCTGGGGGGTGGTCGTGTGGGGGGTGGTCGTGCTGGTCGTGCGTGGTCGTGCGTGGTGTGTCGTGGTGCGCTGGTCGTGCTGGGGCGGGTCGTGCTGGGGCGTGGTCGTGCTGGGGTGTGGTCGTGCTGTGGTGAGGTCGTGCTGGGGTGTGGTCGTGCTGGGGTGTGGTGCTTGCTGGGGTGGGGTCGTGCTGGGGTGGGGTCCTGCTGGGGTGTGGTCGTGCTGGGGTGTGGTCGTGCTGGGGTGGGGTCGTGCTGGGGTGGGGTCGTGCTGGGGTGTGGTCGTGCTGGGGTGTGGTCGTGCTGGGGTGTGGTCGTGTTAGGGTGGGGTCGTGCTGGGTGGTGGTCGTGCTGGGGTGTGGTTGGTCCGCACCCTGTGATTTATCGATCGGGTCGTGCTGGGGTGTGGTCGTGCTGGTGCTGGGGTGTGGTCGTGCTGGGGTGTGGTCGTGGTGGGGTGTGGTCGTGCTGGGGTGTGGTCGTGCTGGGGTGTGGTCGTGCTGGGGCGTGGTCGTGCTGGGCGTGGTCGTGCTGGGGTGTGGTCATGCTGGGGGTGTGGGGTCGGCTCTGCAAAACCAGCGTTTCGCTCGAGACATCCTCAACAAATTCTGAAACCAAGCGTTTCGCTTGAGACATCCCCAACTCTGCAAAACCAGCGTTTCGCTCGAGACATCCTCAACAAATTCTCAAAAACAAGCGTTTCACTCGAGACATCCTCAAAAATATGTTCGCCGGCCTCCTTCGACCTCGATATTTATCAAGGAAAAAATTCGCCGGCCTCCTTCAAGTTGGGCACCGGGGACATGTTTACATACTAAAAGAGAACCCTGGGCCTTTGCCCTTTCCGGGAAAAAAATGTGCCGGTTATGCAACGACGGCGACGGACAATTTCCTCAAGTCTAACTCAAACCTTCTCTCTATCTGAAAAGATAATCTGAATGTTCTCTTTCGAACTTCGCCTCACCAGCGAGTTAACACTAGCCAGTCATGCCGCAATTGATTCATCAGTCTCAATGCGCGTCGGCCACCAAAGACTCAGATTATGCAGGCATTTTCTGACTGAGTGTTTGCTAACGCCCGGCTGCCCAGTTGCCATGGTGGTGGCACATTACTTGTGGGTTCTGCCAAAGCAAAGGTTCCATATCCGTATGCAGTCAACGTAATGTCAGACGTACATTGATAATCGGGTGATCGTGGGCATGGTGATTTACAAGGAGCTTAATAGTCGGACAACCGTAATCTTAATCAGGTATGATATACTTGATATTTGGAGAGTCGTATTCTTGACCAGGCACGATCTGCTGCTGCTGCTGCTGCTGCTGCTGCTGCTGCTGGGTGTCGCTGAAGCAGCGCGCGCTGAACAACAATCCCAGAGCAGCGCGTGCTGAAATTCAGTTCGAAATTCGAGTGCCTGGCAACCAATGTCCTGGTGGTCGCTGATGCTCTGCGTGGTCGTGGAGAACCTACGACAATCAGGAAGTTGTCATGAGGCGTGCCGACGTTCAGCACGAGGTTCGCGAGGCCAGTCCTCGCGCGGTGTCTGGCGTCGGCGATGGCTCGACTGGCGGCGACGCGCGCGCGATGGGGGCTACGTTCCGCTGTCAGAGCAGAGATATGTTCCTTAAGCTGTGGTTCAGACGGTCAAGCTCTCTATCCACATGTCAACTGCTGCTTACAGCTCCCTCCTTCTCCTCCTCCTTCTCCTCCTCCTCCGATTCCTCCTCCATCCTCCCCCTCTTGACGTATCACAGCTTCTCCAGCCCTTTATTCCACCGCATGCTCCTCCGCATCCCTGAACACGGCAACTCGACTGGGTTTCGTTTATTGATTCGCTGATGGGGTTACGCGGAGCGTCTCGAACTGGTAACTGAAGGGGTTGGTGGACACTCACGAACCTTACAAAATGTCAGGCTGTCGGCCGAACGTTCCTGACCGTACGGGCAACTAACATGTTGTACAATTACAAAATCTCCAGAGACCGCGGTCATCCGTAGGAACAGTGCTGAACCTACTAGCGTGTGGCGGACTGAACCTCGACAGGATGTGCTAGGAGGTGGTATCGCCCCCAATTGTAATCATCTCCTCAGCTTAAGCAGGGGGGATACTCCAACCATCGTACACAGAAAGGGCATCACAATTTAGCGAGGCTGGGGGCCGCATCAGCGGCGGCATTCACAAACCTCATATCGGAAGTGTAAATGTACGTCACCGTCAGGGCTGCCGTGCCCAAGCCCTGCCACAGACCCGACACGAGCGTCTGTACTTAAGTTTTGGCCATGCCGATACGAAATATGATGATGCGCACGATGTTGATGACAATTTTTCTCCTCCACGCCTGGCGCGCTGGGCTGTTCGGTAGCGCCCAGGTTCGGCGGGAGTCCCGGCGAGGCGCTGCTCGGCACGGATGCAGCCCGCCGCGCCTGGGGCCCTGCCAGCAGGAAACGTCAGGCTCGGGCTGGGGCGCTGGCTCCGCGTGTTGCAGAAGCCGAGCAGCCCCAGCGCGGCGGAGCAGGGGCCAGCGCAGTGCCAGCAGAGCTTCACAGCAAGACGGAGACGAGAGAAAGGTCGAGCGAGGCATAATCTTCAGGCCATGACGCCGCTCAGCAAGAATACCCATGGCGTGCTGCACTTTTGCGCAGTGATCAAGAGCCGTCCGCTCTGTGGCGATTCGCACTTCAGCTGGACGTTGACATTGGAGCTCTTCTTTGGGTCGAGCTTTACTGCCCTGCTGCCCACCGAGAAAGCCGGGTTGTCTACCTGGATGGCAAACTCCACGGCCTCGTCAAACGGATTCATGAACTCCACAGAGCCAGACTTGCCGTTCACGATGGTGACAGGACCCTGTGGCTGCGGCGGCTGCGTGTACCCAACCAGCAGGGCCTTGTAATCGCCAGCCTCCGCTGAGCTAACTACCAGCAATGCCCGGACCTCGCCCAGCGAGGAGGGCTGGAAGCGCACGTCGATGGACGCCTCTGTGCCGTCCTCGCTCGCGGCGGGCAAGCTGCCCTTCAGGTCCTTGGCGCTGGCCAGGGCGAAATTGCCAGTAGCGGTCTGGTGTCCTGGGGCGGCATCGATGGACGTGCTGTACGCCGCAGCTTTCCTTGAATAGTACATGAATTTGAAAGACTGTGTAACACTGAGCCCCAGAGGTGCCTTGAAGACGATCGTCTTGTTCAAGCCTGCAGGCTGAACATCGTACTTTACGGAATATGGATAAACACCCAAGTGTTCAGAGCGCAGGTGAACAGTGGCTTCACCACTACCTGGCAGAAGTGGCCGGAAAATCACGTCCACTGAAGCCCCTGCGCCAGGAAGCACCGAGAATTCGCTGGGCGAGAGCCGCAATTCGGGATGCGAGGCCTGGCACTTGAAGGTGGTCGCAGTAGACAGCGGGTTCACCACGGCAATGGACTTCGTGGTGATTTGGCGGCAGGCTACATTGTAGGTGAGGGTGTCAAGCACTCTGGGCGCCACGAACTTAAACGCCACCTGCATTTGCACGTACTCGTCCGTCCTCGGGTTAGTGAAAACGACGCCCACGATCGCAGTGCCTTCCCTGTACGCGTACACGTTGAACTTGTAGTCCTTCGCCCTTCCTGGTGGCAGGTCGAATGTCTCGCCGCCCTGGAGCTTGATGTCCTCCCCAGTGCCTGCAGGCTCGAGCAGTGAAAGGGACACGTTAAAACGCTGAGACTCCTGCAACCAGTTCGTCAATGGCACCGACTGCACGTATGACGTCTTGCAAGGTGCCTCGGAGGCGATTCTCTTCTGTTCCTTGGGTGGCAGTGAGATGCCCTCCAGATTGAAGACGAAAGCGCTCCCGTCTGGAGTGGGAACAAAGATGTTGCCAGTGTGCACCTCAGGGCGCGGAGGCTTGTTGAAGCTCTTGTTGTCGGCGCCAGCGTCCTTTCTCCTCACAGCTGGCTTGGGCCTCGTCTTAGGCTTGGCCGCCTTCTCCTTCTTTTCCTCGTCGGCCTCGCCATCGGTTGCGGCTGCCTCCTCTGTGGATGGCGGCGCGGGCTCAGGACCTTTGGGCACGGCGCTCTTGCTGCCTTTCGTGTCCAGGGCCTCCTTCTTCGCAGCACCAGGCTGTTGCGGCGGCGGCTGCGGCACTGGGGAGTCACTCTTCGGCGCTGTCATCGTGAGCGGCCGATAGGATATCTCCACCTCGGCCTGGCCGTTCGGCGGAACGACCACCTCGGACGGGCAGAACCAGTAGTCCACCTCAGTGGGCACCAGGGTCTTCACCACAGGGTTTAGCTTCCACGTGTCTCCGGTAGGATTCTTGCCGTCGGGGGGGATCAATACCTTGAGGGTATGCCGCTCCCGCACCTCTGTGCTGAACTGCAGGGCCTTGCGGGCGCTCTCCTGCGAGTCCACGCCGTGCCCCTGGAGGACCAGCTCCAGAGGCTCCTGCTCGTGCTCCGACTCCAGCACGCAGCGGATCTTCTTCGGCCTCGCCAGGTCCCGCTCCGCGCCGGCAGCCTTCTTGGCGGGGTCCCTGTCGTCCTGAGCCGAGCCCGACACGGGCAGCGCCTCGTGACGCTTCGGGCGGAAGCCGACCGTCACCTCCACGCTGCTGTAGGGCGCGGCGAAGCCCTCCTTGGGCTCCACGGAGAAGAGGGCCGCCACCTTGGCGGGAAGCTCCCAGCGGAAGTGCACGCCGAGGTCACCAAAGTTCTGCAGCTGCATCTTGCGCGTGCTGGCGGAATCGAACACAACGTCGCCGAAAAGGATGGAATGCTCGGAGAGCCTCACCTCGGACGCGTGGCACCTGCCTGCAACGTTCAGCAGGTGCTGCGCGGGGCCCACCGTGGGCTGGTAGCGTAAGGGCAGCTTGAATGGTGTAATGTGGAAATTGGGACGGAAAGTCAGCTCGACCTGGGCCTGCTCCTTTGGCTTCAGCGAGATGATCTCCGTAGGCACCCACGAGAGGCACCGCTCGGTCAGCTGTCCGTTCGGGTCGTGAAGGCTGAATTCTACAGGCCTGGGTGACCGGTTCACTACCCTCACAGTGCGCGTGACCGACGTGTTGCCGACCGTGGTGCCGAAGTCCACAGTCTGCATCGCCATTGATAACAGCTCGACACTCATCTCGCACCCGCGCCCGTGGATGTTAACATATGTCTTGGTACAGTCGTTGATGACGAATTCTATCCTCTCGTGGTATTCAACGTCATGCCGCGGTGTGAAAACAATGGGCACCACCAAGGACTTCCCCGCCTCAATCATCGACGCATGGACTTCAACGTCAAGCCAGGGTGTGCGCACAAAGGTAGTCGATAGCCAGCAGTCTACCACATCCTGGTTGGTCACAATGAGCTCCTTCCGTTCGGCCGCCGCCTTCGAGTTCGTCGGAGAAGCTGGCTCCAGAGTCGTTACGTCGCCACTGCGCTGCACAAAGCACGGCCCGAAGTCGTGGCTAGTGAAGGAGAAGTCCACAGCTGGCCGCTTGGACTGGCCCTGCAGCTCAAACGTGTACGAGGACTCCAACCCTCCAGCTGGCAGCACCATTCGAAGCAGCGTTCCATCCAGCTTGTGAGACTCTGGCGGGGCATACTCCACAGTGATCTCCGTCTGATTGTCGTGAGTGGCCACGCCGCGCACGGGGCTGATCGTCACAAAAGGCGGCTTCCCTGGAGCCGGGTGCTCTATCAGCGCTCCGGCCGCTGTGCGCATCTGCCAGAAGAAATCGTACTTCACCGCGGGCGCATCGCCCGCGGCCTCGTCGTGGCGCCTCGCGCCGCTCGCGCCCTCGCGGGAGAAAGTGGGGCTCGATAGCAGGAGCGTGAACGAGCGCGCCTCCTGGACCTGAAGGCTCCCGAAATTCAGCACCTCCTTGACGCCGCTGTGCAGTTGCCTATCGCCATGGTCATTATCCACCAAAACCATCTTGGTATTGATCTGATAACCCTCACCCTTGATGTTCAATACGATCGGCTTTTCCCGTCGCTTGATGCTTGCTATCCGCCACCGTGCCCTGAGGCACGAGTTGGAGTCTCCTCAGCTCCTTCGAGCCCTCAGCCCTGAAGGTTCCTTAAGGCGCCCACAGCCTGCAACTCCGGGCGATTCAGGGCGCTCTTGAGCGTTTCCGGGCGCTCCTGGGCCTTATCGCCTGGATTTCTGGAGCAGAGAAGACCTCAAAACGAGCCACGAGGGCCCCAGGAGGCCCCCAAGATGGTCCTGATGCGGCCCAAGATCGCCTCAAAACGCTCAAGATGGCCTCAAGAGGGCCCAGGAGGCCCCCAAGACGCCCCAACAGAGCCCTGAGAGCACTCCCAAGAGGGCCCAGAGAGGCCAAAATCATGTGTATTACCATGTTGTTTGAAGGATGTTGACGTTCTCGCCCGATCGGCCTTCCGACCGCCCAAGGCAGCCCAAAATGACCCCAAGATCACCCCAAGACGGCCCAGGAAGCCGCCAATAGGGGACCAATAGGCCCCAAGACGGTCCCAGGAGAGGGAAAGCGAAAGTGCGAAAGGCCCACCAAGAGGACCCATGAGGCTCCACGAGACCCCAAAAAGGCCCCCCAAGAGGACTCCAAGAAGTCCCCGAGAGGCCCCAAGAGTCACCAGAGAAGGAGACACCCCATGAGGCCCCCGAGAGGACCTGACCCACAACGCAGGCACGAGAGACGACGCCCGCTGGGATCGATATGATCCAAGTGGTACCATTTGGGTACCAGTTGAGTCCTATAGCTTGCACACACAAGGGAAACATCCAAAGAAGCTTCCGATGGGCATCCCAAGAACCCCTGACAGGCATCCAAGAAACCTCTGACCCACTACTTAGGCACGGTGACTGGATTGGCCGAATGCCACTAGATCCGTCGCCCCTGTCGATTCATCGCAGGGGTGCCTGGCGTGCCAAACTATTACGGTTGGGGTGTTGGTTCTTTGTCCAAGAGAGCTCCCCCTGGGGCTTCGGCCCGTCCCGCTGACCACCCGAAAGGCACCCAAATCTCCCAATGTTTCGCTCAAGATGGCCCAAGATGGTCTCCAAGATGGCCACGTTGGACAAGATGGCCTCCAAGATGGTCCAAGATGGCCTCCAAGTCCGCCCAAGATGGTCCAAGACGGCCTCCCATACGGCCCAAGAGAGTCCAAGACGGCCGAAGACGGCCCAAGAGGCCCCCCAGAGGCCTCCACGACGGCCCAAGAGGCCTCCAAGAGGTCCTCCAGGAGGGCCCGAAGAGGCCAAAACCATTGCTTGTCCTTAGGTTTTGAAAGATTTCCGCATTCGCTTCTTCTCGGCTTTCCGACGACCCAAGACGGCCCAAGGGGGCCAAGAGATCGCCCCCACAGCGCCCAAGAGGCCTCCAAGATGGCCTCAGGACTACCCAAGAGGCCACCAAGACGGCCCCAAGAGGGCACAAAGACGACCCAAGAGGCCTCCAACACGCCCAAGATGGCCTCTAAGACGGCCCTGGAGCACCCCGAGAGGGCCCCAAGTCGGCCCAGAAAGGCCCCCCAAACGGCTTCCGACGGCGTCAGACGGGCCAGGAGCCCACCAAGATGGCCAAAGTTGGCCCGAAGCTGACCCAAGACGGCCCAAGAGGCCTCCAAGAGGCCTCCAAGAGGGCCTCCAGGAAGGCCAGAAAAGGCAAAAATCATTGATTTTCCATAGGCGCTCGAAGGATTTTGACATTTGCTTCGTTTCGACCTTCCGACGGCCCGATACGGCTCAAGAGCCCCCAAAGATCGCCCAAGGATCGCCCAAGAGGCCTCCAAGATGGCCCCAGAACGGCCCAAGAGGCCCCTCAGACGGCCCCAAGAGGCCCCCAAGACGGCCCAGGAGGCTTTTAAGTCGCCCAAGATGGCCTCCATGACGGCCCTGGAGCATTCCAAGAGGGCCCCAAGTCGGCTCAAAGAGGCCCCCCCAACGGCTTCCGACGGCGTCGGACGGGCCAGGGGCCCACCAAGACGGCCGAAGATGGAACTAAGATTGCCCAAGACGGCCCAAGAGGCCTCCAAGAGGGCCTCCAGGAAGGCCCGAAAAGGCCAAAATCATCGATTTCCCATGAGTTGTTCAAGGATTGTGGCATTTGCCTTCCGACGGCCCGAGACGGCCCAAGTGCCCCCAAAGATCGCCCAAGAGGCCCAAGACGGCCCCAAGAGGTCCCCGAGAAGGCCGAAGAGACCTCCAAGACGCTCAAGATGGCCTCCAAGACGGCCCAAGAGCCCAAGAGCCCTCAAAGACGTCCTCCAAGGCCCGAAAGGGTCAAAATGGCCTCCAGGCGGCCAAGATGACCTTCAAGATGCCCACGTGTTCCCCGAAGGCTTTCCAAACCGATTCGGGGAACGCATGGTCCGATAGCTTGGCAGGTCTGGCCTCAACGTTCGGCCACATAGGCGCTTCCACAAAGGCAGGGGGCGGCGGTGATTCGCCGTAAGCGTCTTCGATCCGCCGCCCCCTGTTGGCTTGCCACAGCGGTGCATGGCGTGCTAGATCCTTCGGATTTGGTTTTGGTTCTTTTTCCAAAAGAACTCCCCCTGGGGCTTCGGCCCGTCCCGCCGGCCACCCAGAAAGATCGCCCGGCTTGCCCGGAGCCGGCTGCCAAGGGCTTTTCCTGCTCCAGACGCCTCCAAGACTGCCAACATGGCCTCCAAGACGGCTCAGATGACCCCAAGATGCCTCCAAGATGGCCCAAGATGCCTCCAAGACGGCCTGAGATAGCCTCAAGATGGTTGAAGACAGCCCAAGAGGCCCCCAAGAGCCCCTCAAGACGCCTCCAAGAGGTCCTCAACGAGGGCCCAGAAAGGCCGAAATCATTGGTTGTCCATTGGTTTTTGAAGGGTTTTGGCATGTGCTTCTTTTCGGCCTTCTAAAGACCTCAAGACGGCCCAAGAGGCCCCCAAGATCGCCCCTAAATCGCTCACGAGGCCTCCAAGATGGCCCCATGAAGGCTCCAGAAGCCCCCAAGAAGGCCCCAAGCGGAACCCAAGACGGCCCAAGAGGCCTCCAAGACGCCCAAAATGGATCCAAGACGGCCCAAGATGCACCCGAGACGGCCTGAGATGGCCTCCAGATGGCCTAAGACGGCCCAAGAGGCCCCCAAGAGGTCTCCAAGACGGCCGAAGAAGAGGCCTCCAAGAGGTCCTCCAGGAGGGCCCGAAGAGGCCAAAATCATTGATGTTCCTTAGGTGTTTGAAGGATTGTGGCATTTGCTTCTTTTCGACATTCCGACGGCTCAAGACGGCCGAAGAGGCCCCCAAGATCGCCCACGAGGCATTCAAGATGGCCCCATGACAGCCCATGAAGCCCCCAAGACGGCCCCAACAGGGCCAACAGGGCCTCCAAGAAGGCCAATATGGCCTCCAAGACGGCTGGCCCCAAGATGCCTCCAAGACGGCCCAAGATGCACCCAAGACGGCCTCAAGATGGCCCAAGACGGCCCAAGGGGCCCCCAAGAGGCCCCCAAGAGGCCTCCAAGACGGCCCAAAAGGCGTCCAGGAGGTCTTCCAAGAGGGCACCAAGAGGCCAAACTCATTCATGTTCCTAAGGTTGTTGAAAGATTTCGGAATTTGCTTATTTCGGCATTCCGACGGCTCAAGACGGTGCAAGACACCCCCAAGATCGCCCAAGAGGCCTCCTAAGATGGCCCCATGACGGCTCAAAAGGCCGCCAAGACGGCCCTAAGAGGGCCCCAAAACGGCCCAAGAGGCCTCCAAGACGCCCAAGATGGCCTCCAAGAACCCCTGGTATGCCCCAAGAGGGCCCCAAGACGACACAGACAGGCCCCCAAGACGGCTTCCGACGACGTCAGACAAGCCAGGAACGCCCTAAGACGGCCAAAGAGACTCCCAAGAAGCCCCCAAAAGCCCCCCCAAACCCTCCCAAGAGGCCCCTAGGAAGCTCCCAGGAGGCCCCAAGAGTGCCCCAAGAGGCGCCCAAGATGCCTCCTCCTCCTCCTCCTCCTCCTCCTCCTCCTCCTCCTCTTTTTGTTCCGCATCCTCCCCCTCCTCCTCTTCTTGCTCCCCCACGCGTTCCTCGAAGTCTTTACAACCATACTCGGGGAACAATTGGCCCGATAGCTTGGCTAAGCTCTGGCCCAGCTGTCGGCCACAGGGGCGCTTCCAAAGGGGCAGGGGGCGGCGGTGATTCGCCGTGGGCGTCTTCGATCCGCCGCCACCTATTGGCTTGCCACAGGAGCGCACAACACGCCAGTACTTGTTGGGTCTGTCTACGAGTTCCCAAGTGGCAGTCGGCCGATTCGGCCAACCCTGCGGAAAAGAGGCATCTCATCGGCGTTCCACCCAGTAGGCCCGTAAACTTCCCAGGTCGTCGGCCTTCCCGCTCCAGACGGCTTCAACTAGAATGGTCTCCAAGACGGCTGCGACGGCACCAAGAGAGGCCACGATGGCCTCAAGATGTCTCCAAGACGGGCCGAGACGCCCCCAAGATGGCCCAATATTGCCCCAAGATCATCCAAGAGTGCCCAAGAGGCCTCCATGACGGCCCAAGAGGCCTCCGAGAGGACCTCCAGGACGGCCCCAAGAGGCCAAAATCAGTGATGATCCTCCGGTAGTTGAAGAACTTGGACGTTTGCCACTGTTCGGCTTTCCGACGGCCCAAGACGGCCCCTGAGGGCGCCAAGATGGCCCCGCGAGCGCCCAAGAGGCATCCGAGATTGCTCGCTGACGGCCCCGAAGACGGCCCCAAGAGGGACTCACGACGGCCAAGGAGACCTCCAAGACACCCAAGATGGCCTCCAAGACGGCCCAGGGAGACCCCCAAGACGACTTGCAACGGCGTCAGACGGGCTAGGAACGCCCTCAGACGACCAAAGAGCCTCCCAAAGAGCCTCCAAAGCCCTCTTAGAGGCCCAAGGAAGCCCACACGAGGCCTCCACGAGGTCCCTGGAAAGCTCCCAGGAGTGCCCCCAGGAGGCTCCCAAGAGGCTTCCTCCTAATCCTCCTCCTCCTCATCCTCCTCCGTTTTCCTTTGTTCCTCCCTCTCCTCCTCCTCTTCGTCGATTTTCCCCGCATGTTCCCCGACGGGTTTCCACAACGGCTGGGGGAACATATAATACGATAGATTAGCCGAGCTCTGGCAACAACGTTCGGCCACATAGGCGTTTCCAACAGGCAGGGGGCGGCAATGATTCGCCGTCGGCGTCTTCGATCCACAGCCCCCTGAGATCTTGTCACAGGGGTGCACGGCGTGCCAGGCGAAGGTTGCTCTGGTCATTTTTCAAATATTCCCAGTGGTGTATCGGCCCAACCCGTCGGCAGCGCGGAAGGACATGGCGAGGTGGGAGGCAAGGGGCACGGATGGCTTTCGCCGGGGTTGGCTTTCGCCAGGCTTCGTTTCGCCGGGCTTCGTTTCGCCGGGCTTCGTTTCGCCGGGGTTGGCTTTCGCCAGGGTTGGCTTTCGCCGGGGTTGGCTTCCGCCGGGGGGTGGCTTTCGCCAGGGCTGGCTTTCGCCGGGTTGGCTTTCGCCGGGTTGGCTTTCGCCGGGGTTGGCTTTCGCCGGGGTTGGCTTTCGCCGGGTTGGCTTTCGCTGGGGTTGGCTTTCGCCGGGTTGGCTTTCGCCGGGGTTGGCTTTCGCCGGGGTTGGCTTTCGCTGGGGTTGGCTTTCGCCGGGGCTGGGCGGGGAGCAGGCGGGGCAGGCTCAGGGGCAAAAGTAGGCGCCGCCGTCGCTGGCGTGGCCGTCGCCGCCGCCGTGCTGACCCCTGGGAGCCTTTGAGGCGCGCCGCTTGAGTAGGCGAAAGGGTCGCAGAGACGTGGGGGGGGGTCAAGGAGGTCCCGGATGTCAAGGAGGGTCTGAGATGCGTCAGAACGGGACGCTAAAAAATGCGGGGCGCGCTCAAGTGGGCACGCGTGAGCCCCAGCGTGCGGGCCCGATCGGGTGGGCGGACCCTAACGGGCGGGACGGGTCGAGCGGACCCTCACACGCGGGCCGGGTCGGGCGAGCGGATCCTAACGGGCGGGGCGGGTCGCGCCGGGTCGGGCGGACCCTAGCGGGCGGGTCGGGTCGGGCGGGCGGGACACTAAAGTGTGGGGCGCGCTCGAGTGAGCACGCGTGAACCCTAACGGGCGGGTCGGGTCGGGTCGGGCGGACCCTAACGGGCGGGACGGGTTCGGGTCGGGCGGACCCTAACGGGCGGGTCGGGTCGGGCAGGCGGGACACTAAAGTGTGGAGGCGCGCTCGAGTGAGCACGCGTGAACCCTGACGGGCGGGTCGGGTCGGGCGGACCCTAACGGGCGGGAACGGGCGGGTCGGGCGGGCGGGACACTAAAGTGTGGGGCGCGCTCGAGTGAGCACGCGTGAACCCTAACGGGCGGGTCGGGTCGGGCGGACCCTAACGGGCGGGACGGGTTCGGGTCGGGCGGACCCTGACGGGCGGGTCGGGTCGGGCGGGCGGGACACTAAAGTGTGGGGCGCGCTCGAGTGAGCACGCGTGAACCCTGACGGGCGGGTCGGGTCGGGTCGGGCGGACCCTAACGGGCGGGGCGGGTTCGGGCCGGGCGGACCCTAACGGGCAGGTCGGGTCGGGCAGGCGGGACACTAAAGTGTGGAGGCGCACTCGAGGGAGCACGCGTGAACCCTGACGGGCGGGTCGGGTGGGGCAGGCGGACCCTGGCGGGCGAAGCGGGTCGGGTCGGGTCGGGCGGACCCTAACGGGCGGGTCGGGTGAAGCGGGCGGGGCACTAAAGTGTGGGGCGCGCACGAGTGAGCACGCGTGAACCCTAACGGGCGGGTCGGGTCGAGTCGGGCGGACCCTAACGGGCGGGCCGGGTCCGGCCGGGCGGACCCTAACGGGCGGGTCGGGTCGGGCGGGCGGGACGCTGAGGTGTGGGGCGCGCTCGAGCGAGCACGCGCGAACCCTAACGGGCGGGTCGGGTCGGGTCGGGCGGACCCTAACGGGCGGGGCGGGTCGGGTCGGGTCGGGTTCGGTAAGAGGAGCAGCAGTAGCAGCATGAAAGAACAGTAGAGGAAAGAGGAGAAGAGGAAGAGGAGGGCGAAGTTGAACCCAGGCGAAAACAAGCCCGGGCGAAAGCCAACCCGGGCGAAAACTAACCGGGCGAAAGCCAACCCCGGCGAAAGCCAACCAGGCGAAAGCCAACCCAGGCGAAAGCCAATCGGGCTAAAGCCAACCGGGCAAAAGCCACCCCGGGCGAAAGCCAACCCGGGCGAAAGCCAACCGGGCGAAAGCCAACCCGGGCGAAAGCCAACCCGGGCGAAAGCCAACCCGGGCGAAAACCAACCCGGGCGAAAGCCAATTGGGCGAAAGCAAACCCGGGCGAAACGAACCGGGCGAAACGCACCGGGCGAAAACCAACCCGGGCGAAAAACATCTACGCCAGGCAAGGCCCCTGGCGCCTCCAAGACGGCTCACTTGGCCTCCAAGGTGCCTTCACGACGGCCAAGATGGCTCCCAGAGAGCCCAGATGGCCGCAAGATTTCACCAAGACGGCCCAAGATGCACCCAAGACGGCCGAAGATGGCCTCAGGATGGCCCCAGACGGCCCTAGAGACCCTCAATTGGCATCCAAGAGGGCTCCAAGAGAACCTACACGAGGCCAAAAACATTGAGTGTCCTTTGGTTGTTCAGTGATTTCAGCGTTCTCGCCTTTTCGGGCTTCCGACGCTCCAAGACGGCCCCATAGGCCCCGTATGTTGCCCCAAGGCGGCCCCATAGATCTCCAAGACGGCCCTGAAGCGCCCAAAGACGGACCCACTACTGCCCAGAGAGGGCCCCAAGATGGCCTCAGAAGGCCAAGAGGTTCATTCGAGGCTCTGAGAAGGCCCCAAGAAGCCCCCAAGAGGCCTCAAGAGGCCCCAAAGAGGCCCCAGGAGGCCCCCAAGAGGTCCCTCAGAGGCCCCCAAGAGGGTCCCAGGAAGCCCCCAGGAGGCCTTAAGAGGAGCTCGAGAGGCCTCCTCTTCTTCGTCCACCTGCTCCTCCTCCTCCTCCTCCTCCTCCTCCTCCTTCTCCTTCCTCTCCTTCTCCTTTCTCTTCTTATCCTCAGTATTCCCCCAAGGAGTTCAACAACGGCCGGGGAAACGCATAGTCCAATAGCTTGGCCAGACTTTGGCCCGACGTTTGGCTGCATGGGCGTTTCCGAAAGGCAGGGGGGCGACGGTGACTCGCCCTGGGCGTCGTCGATAATGTTGAAGTTATAGAACACTTCTTCCGTCGGAGCGAACGTCACCTGGATTGGAAAGCTGTTGCCTGGACCGACCACGCCGCTCATCGGCGAGACACTGAGTGCCGCAGCATGACTTTCCGACTGACAGGAGGTCGCCAACGAGAAGCTGAACGGAATGTGCTCCTTGTTCACGATATTGAACACCTCCGTCGCCTTGCCGCCCACCAGCAGCCGGCCGAAGTTGACGCTGGGCCGGTCCGTCCCGACGCGCGGGTCCTTCACGGAGCCCACCAGCACGAAGGACTGTGTGACACTCTTTCCAGCGATTGAAAAGGTCCAAAACATCTCGTGGGTGCCGACCGTTGTTGGGACGTATTCGAAAATGATCTCGTGCTTTTTCCCTGGCAAGACCGTGCCGCGCTTGGAGAGGCACCGGAAACAGTCATCCTGGTCACCCTTTTTCTCAAACTCCTCTGGTCGCCATGCAAACTCGTATTGCTCAGAGGTGGGGTTGCACACGTAGAATCTCTTCGTATTCTTAACATGGGTGCCTAATGACTCGAACTCGATGATGCTGTACTTCGGGTCCAGTGGCACGTCTGACCGCCGCCGGCTGCGGTAGCTGCTCTCTGGCAGCTCGAAGTGGCACCACGGCCGCAGCGCGGAGCCCGACAGCGCGACCGCCAAGGGCGGGAGCCCGGCGCTCAGATGGGGGATCTGACACTCCAGCTGGCAGGCAAAGTCTTCCACTTCCGTGGGCGCGAATCGCAGCGCGAACTCCTGCGTGGTGCCGCCCGCGATGGACCCCTTCGCTGGCTCGACGGAATACGCCCTGCTCCCGTCTCCACCGACTACGCGCCAATCGAACGGCAGGGGTATCGTCGAGGGATTCTTCACGTGGAACCGATGTACCCGCCTCTGGAAGAGCACGGTCGCGCTGAAGTGGGCCATCTGCGTGCTGCACTCGTAAGCATGAGCATCCGCCATTGCAGTGACGTGGATAGGAAGCGGGTGCTGAGAGCCGCTAATCATATGATGCGGCGGCTCTTCTGGAACCGTCTCCTCGAGGTGGTCCATGCTCTCGTTACCAGGGACGGCGTCCGGATCGCCGAAAGACACGACGCGCATGGAGTCGTCCCAATCTTCTGGTTCCCCGTCGTGCTTGATGGAAGCGATCGAGACCGGCACCTGCAGCCCCTGGGCACTAAGCTTTTCAGTGGGGCGGAAAACGAACGTGATCGGCTTGCTCGCGCCAGGCAGCACGTGTCCGACCGATGGCGACGCGAGTAGGCCACCGCTTGAAAAGGGCGCTGGTAGCTTCTCGGGGAACTGGAAGCGAATTGTGTCCTTCGAAGTGTTCATGATGGAGAACATTACGGTGGCCTCTCCGCCGAGCGGCACGGCACCCAGGTTGACTTGGTCGTAGGCCGGCGCCGCGAAAGACCTCACCATCTGCGCGGCTGCATCGGGCAGCTCCCAAGCGACAGCGTCCTTGCAGCCAGAGAACTCCACGTTAATCGTGCGGTCCTCGTATGGATTGTGAAGAGTGCTCAGGCGGAGTGGGATCTTGAAATTGCCCGCCTCGGTTGGATGGAAGTGGACCTGGAAGGGGTGCTGCGCCTTCGGCTCCAGCGTCAGAGTGCGCGGGCAGCCCACGGTGAAGTGTGCCGAGGACGGGTAGTCGCAGCGTGCAGTGGCTGGGATGACCCCGTCGTTCGTGAGCACGAAGTCGACCGAATGGGTCTTCCCCGCTTGCAGCCTGCCAACATGCAGCTCGCTCCCTGTGTCGCCGGACAGGGGCGGACCGCCCAGCGAGATGGTGGGCACGGTGCCTTCGCCACGGACCTCGAACGAGAGGGAGTTCGTGCCTGGATCCCTGCCATCCACGACCTCCGCTTTGAAATTGCCTACGAAGCTCTGCAGGGCTGTCGGCCGGAAACGAACCTTGATGTACCTGTACTCGTGCGGTGGGATGTGCAGCTCGTTCGTGGACAGGTCGAAAGGGAAGGCCTGGTCCTTGCCGGGGGTCCCTCGCGGCTTGATCTCGAACTTGACGTCGCAAGGGATCGCCTTGGGGTTAGAGATGCGGAATTTCGCCGATTCGAGAGAGTCGCTTCCTGAGCTAGAGCCCTGCGTCACCACCACTGGCCCGAAGGAGAAGAAGCGGTCCTCCTCGCAGAAGGCACGGATGTCAACGCGCCCAGATGTGGCGATGGCATCCTCGAGGCTGCGCGCTACGAACTGCTCCTCGAAGATTGACTGGACATTGTCAGTCTCAATGCCGGGAGTGCAGCTCTGCCCTGTCAGGAGGTACTCCCTGAATCCAACCTCTGCGCCGACGGCACCGAAGCCGCCCACGGTGGCGTTGAAGAAGGATTGCCGGGTCTGCCCAGCGGGTTCCACATTCTTGGTCTTCTGCCCAGATGCAGGCGGCCGGTCAGGCATGCCATCGACATGAATGCCGATCTTGCAGTCGAAATGCTTGTCCTCGCTGGCCGTGAAGTCCACCCTGATTTTTGCAGACTCCTTTGGCTTCAGCTCGCCGCACAAGGGCGTCATCCTGAAGGGGCCGATGGTCAGCGTCTTCTCCGTAGGAAGCGCCCCCTTGTCCGCCTTGCCGCCCTTTGCCGAGGCCACCTGCGTGGAGGCGGTCGCGGCGGCCTGCTGATCGCCCATCTCCGCGAAATTGGGCGGGTTGGCCGAATCGAACAGTGACCAGTCTAGCTTGAAAATGCCGTCGTTGTGGATCTCAAACTCTCGCTGGCCGACGGCGCCCGTCCTTGCAAGGAACGTTTGCTGACCCCGTCTGGTAGAGGGGGGGGAGGGAAAGGTGCACGCGTGGGTGCTACAACGGTTTTGGCCTCCGAGGCTTCGAAGAGGGCATACGCGGCCAAGAGGAGGCCATAGCAAGGGCAACAGAAAATCGAAGAGAGCCTCTACGAGGCTCCACGAGGCTACAACAGAGATCTCAGAATGCCCAAATTATCAAATCCTATTAGGCTTCTGGGCGCAGGTGGTTTAGCGGGTATCCGTTTCCCAAATCCTCTTCCCATCTGAAGAGGGATTTACCTCAGTCGTTAGAACTGAATGTAGGATCATCAATAATTGGATCTTTGTGATACGCTTCCAAGTAAAGAAGTAACGTACGACAACAGCAGACTATGTTCAGCGAGATGTACTGTTCCCAACCATCCTGTGGTGTTTGTTGGGTCCTCGCTTTGAAGAGACAGCGCCCCGCGTCTCCCGTCCCGCCTTCCCCATCCTCCTATCTCTGCCTCTGCCGCCCGCACGTCCTCATCGGAATCGTTCCCATCATCAATTTCGTCATCAGCTTCATACCGTCTCCACCTTCAACGTCGTCACCATCACCATCACCATCATCACCATCATCATCATCATCATCATCATCATCATCATCATCGTCCTCGTCCTCGTCCTCGTCATCCTCATCCTCGTCGTCATCGCCATCGCCATCATCATCATCATCATCATCATCATCGTCATCATCATCATCATCATCGTCATCATCGTCAGCATCAGCATCATCATCATCATCATCATCATCGAATTCGTCACCATCATCATCATCAGCAGCAGCATCATCAGCATCATCATCCTCATCGCCATCATCGTCATTTTCAGCATGCTCACCATCATCATCAGCATCGTCGTTGTCATCATCATCACAGTGATCAGCATAGTCATCGTCATCATCAGCAGCAACATCATCATCATCATTATCATCATCATCATCATCATCATCATCATAATCAGTATCATCGCTACTCGTCCCCCAACCCTCCTGTGTCAGACCACTCACAGGTTTCGTGGCCCCACAGCGAGCGAGCGGAAGCCGAGCATCCAGACGGACGCGTGGTCACAGTGAGTTGCAACATTGGCAACCCATCGGAAAGGCGAACTACGACTGAACAGGGAGGAGGAGGAGGAGGAGGAGGAGGAGGAGGAGGAGGAGGAGGAGGAGGAGGAGGAGGACGCTCAAAAGGGCGCCGAAAACCAAGAGGGCGCCGAAAACCAAATGGGCGCCAAAACCCCAGAGGGCGCCGAAAACTAACGATGCGCCGAAAACCAACGGGCGCGCAGAAAACCAAAAATGGGCGTCGAAAGCCAAAAACGGCGCCGAAAACCAAAGGAGCGCCAAAAACCAAAGGGGTACCAAGAACCACAAGGGCGCCAAGAACCAAAAGGAGCGCCGAAAACCAACGTGACGCGGAAAACCAAAGTAGCTTCGAAGACTCCCCTTCAGCAGGGGCCCTCCAGCTGGAAAAGCCAACAAAAGGAGGGGGGAAGGTATCTTTGGAAGCCCCCGCCCCTTTGGAACAGGGGGCCCGGGATTACCCCGGGCCCAGAAATGATGGGGGGGTAGTTTCCAATGCCCTCCCCCGCTTTAGCCAGGGACCCCCCAGCTACAAAATTCAAACAGAAAGAATGGGGGGTTGCGTCGGCAACCCCCCTCCCCCTTTTAAAGGGAAGCCCGGGCTGGCCCCGGGCCCCCCGGCAGAAAAACGCCCGCAAAGGGGGGGGGGACTTCGGGAGCCCCCTTTCCAAGGCAGGAGAGGCGGTAGCTTGAAGCTGGGGCCCCCCGTTTAGTGCGAAAGGTGCCGCGAGCGCGCTCTGTCCTTGGATGCCTCCCGGAATGTCGCAGACTGATTATCCGGGGTACCTTGGAAGCCTCGTCGGGGGCCTCTTGGGAGCGTGCTGGCGGGTTCTGGGAGCTCGGGACCTTCTCGGGGCCCTCTTGTGGCTCTCCTTGGCAGTCCTGAACTCTTTGAGGCCGTCTCGAGGCCCTCGCGCGCTGTCTTGGGGCGCTCTTCGGGTCCTTTTGGGCCGGCTTGGGGCTATCTAAGAAACCCATAAGGATGTACCGGGCCCAGGGTAGCCCAAGAAAGCGAGAACGCGAGATCTTTGGGCATCTTGGGGCCTCCCTCCTCAGCGTTTCCAGAGAGCTTCCTGGGAGCCACCTGGGGCATCTCACGACGTTGTCGATGCTTTTCCGCAGCATCAAGGGGGCGAATGTACCCCCAGGCCCACCAGGGAAGGAGCCACCAGGAGACGAGCTAATGATCACCCCCCGTAACTTCCGTGCTGGCCGTTGCCTCGGGAAGCGGGAGTTGATGCAGAAACGGCCTTGCACGGCCGGACGAGAAACCCTCGCCGCATCTACGCGCACGACGCGTCGCAGTGCAGGGTGGGGCGGGAGGGTGATCGCGCGCACTGCGACGCGGCCTGCGCCCTGCGAGGCGCCCTGCCGCGTGACGGCAGGATTGCGCGAAGCAGGTCGCCCTGTGAGGCGCCCTGCGACGCAAAGCGCCTTGTGCGGCGCCCTGCCAACGGACGGCAGGCACTCGGCCCCGCGGGGACGTGACCCCCCGAGCCTTGACCCAGCGGCACAGTAGGCGCCGACGACGCTGGGAAAGGCCGCCTGCGGACCACTGCCAGCACAGTTGGCGCTGGCGATGCTGATCTTGACCCTGATGTGCGAAGCATCTGCGTCTCTAGACGCCCATTATCCGAAAATCTTCGCCTTCCCCCTAATCCGCCGACCCTGTCGGCGTGTGCGAGGGGCTTCCTCGTCCGTTCCTCGCCGCCCCCCCTTCTTCCTTCCCCCTTTTTTCTTTTTGGGCCGTACCCTCCTGCCGTCATGCCGTTGTCGATTCGAAGAGAAGCCCCTTCCCTTTGATCCCTTCCCCAGGGGGGGGGGGTCCCGGGAGAGGTGGGGGGGGGGGTCCCGAGGGGGGTCCCGGGGGGGGTGGGGGGGCAGATTCGTTTTTCCTCGGGCGGCCTCGAAACCTCGAAAACACTCCAAATGAGGTCCGAATGCCCAAGATGGCCCCCGAGACGGCCCAAAAGTGCCCCGAGTCGCCCAAAGGTCGGCCGAAGACGCCCAAGATAGCCCCAAGACCGTCCAAGAAGCCTCCAAGACGTCCCAGGCCCCCTCCAAGAGCACCCCCAAGCAGGGCCCAAGAGGCCACACTCATTACTTTTCCATCGGGAACTTACATTTCTAGCATATACGACGTTTCGGCCTTCACGGCGTCACAGACAGCTTCGTCTTCAGGGTCGGCGGCGCCGGCCGTAAGGCCTTCGCAATAGGATCATTATTGGGGATTCATTGGAAGTTCCCAACCATCCTGTGGTGTTGGGTCCTCGTTTTGAAGAGAGAGCGCCCCGCGTCTCCTCATTAACTCCTTTTCCTCCCCCTCCTCCTTCCTCCCCTCCATGCCTCTGCCTTCCGCATGTCCTCCATAGGGTGCTCCACCGAAGGCCCCAACGGCAGGGTCCGCATGCAGTTCCACCCCGATTTCGGTGCACCGCTCACGCGTTTCGTGGCCCCGTAAGGTGCTCCACCGAAGACCCCAGTGGCAGGGTCCGCATGCTGTTCCACCTCCATGTCCACGCACCCCTCACCGTTTCGTGGCCCCACAGGGTGCTCCACCGAATGCCCCAGCGGCAGGGTCCGCGCACCCCTCACACGCTTCGTGGCCCCATAGGGTGCTCCACCGAAGGCCCCAGTGGCAGGGTCCGCATGCAGTTTCACCTCCATTGCCGCGCACCCCTCACGCGTTTCGTGGCCCCATAGGGTGCTCCACCGAAGTCCCCAGTTGCAGGGTCCGAATGCAGTTCCACTTCCATGTCGGCGCACCCCTCAGACGTGCTCCACCGAAGGCCCCAGTGGCAAGGTCCGCATGCAGTTCCACTTCCATTTCGGTTTCGTGGCCCCATAGGGTGTTCCACCGAAGGCCACAATGTCAGGGTCCTCATGCAATTCCACCTCCATTTCCGCGCACCCCTCACGCGTTTCGTGGCCCCGTAGGGTGTTCCACCGAAGGCCCCAATAGCAGGGTCAGCATGCAGTTCCACTTCCATTTCGGCTCACTTCTCCCACGCTTCGTGGCCCCATTGTGCTCCACCAAAGGCCCCAGTGGCCAGGTACGCATGCAGTTCCACCCCCTGGCAGGGTCCGCATGCAGTTCCACCCCGATTTCGGTGCACCGCTCACACGCTTCGTGGCCCCGTCGGGTGCTCCACCGAAGGCCCCAACGGCAGGGTCCGCATGCAGTTCCACCTCCATTTCCGCACACCCCTCACACGCTTCGTGGCCCCATAGTGAGGCCTCAGTGGCATGGTCCGCATGCAGTTCCATGTCCATTTTGGCGCGTTCCTCGCACACTTCGTGGCCCCATGGGGTGCTCCACCGAAGACCCCAGTGGCAGCGCCCGCGTGGCGCCGCCATCCCACTTTGGCACACCCCTGACACATTTCGCCCCCCCCCACAGGGAGCTCCACAGATGACGATACTCGCGACTGCGGCACTCACAACTGCATATGGTCGGGTACTTTGCCAAGCTCACTTTTTTGAGGCATGTCGTGGACCTCTTAAAGGCTCTTGAAGCCTCCTGGGGAGCTTTCGAGGGCCTGGCGGCGGTCTCGGGCCCCAGTGGGGGCGGGGCCTGACATGTAACTTGGGGTCCCCCATTTGGGGTCTCTCTTGGGGCACTCGGGGGGCTTGTTTGGGCCGTCATGGTGAACATCTTTTGGGATATACTGGGATCACTGTGGGCCGTCAGAGGGGTTCCCGCGGGTTGTCTTAAAGCGGTCCAGGGGGCCTCGTGTGCAATCGTGGTCGCTGTGAATGTACAGGAGCGGATCTGCAAAAAATGAGTGTCCCGCAGGGAATGGAACGATCTTTGTCTCTCGGCGCTCTATGGCGGGTCGTTTGGGAAAAAGTCTCGAGGCCTCGTCGAAGTCTTTGCGACCGTT